CCCCGCTGGACGGCGTCGTCTTGGGTACCTGCGAGCCTCTGTCTGGGAGAGGCCCCCCGGCCCTCGGGAAGGAAGGACAGAGGTCCCAGGCCGCTCAAGCTACCTGAAGCAAGTCACTGCTTCGCCTGGCCTGTTTCCCCCTGTGGAAAAAGGGGCAGTAATGGTGGTGTAGAGTGCACTCCGCGTGTGGAGGAGGCTGGAGCAGTGCATAACGGGCGCAAGTCTCCTGGGTCACGCCCAACTCTGGAGGACGCATCGGGCTAATTCCGCCTGGCAGAAGGCCGACAGCAGGCGTGTTTATCAGGCGCCAGGAGAGGCTGCCGGCAGGGGGGGCGCGTAGGTGGAGGGAAGGGTGCCACACAGAGCCGCGAGAGGCAGGCTGACCCCGGAGCCCGGAGCGACAGTGCTGGCTTGGGGAGACGGCCCTGGCCCCGGAGCAGCCTGAGTCTAACCCATGTGGAGGGTGAGAAGGAGAGAACCCGGCACGAATGGCTCTCGAGTGCAGCTGACTCAAGCCCAAAGTGAGCATTGCTCTTCCTGGGGAGATGGAAGGGCTGGGGCGTGGCTCCTCCGGGACCTCTGGCTGAAGAGCTCTAGACCTTGTCCAAAGAGGGAGCGATTCCTCCCTCATCGGTTCCATGTCACTGTGTTCTAAGCTTGGCGTTCAAGGCTCCTCTAGGCTGTGTCATGCTCTCAGTCATGCCCCCCTCACCACTCCAGAGAGGGGTACTCAAGTGAGCCAGAACTTGGGCACATCACTACCTCCCTGGAGCCCGTTTCCTTACGGGGAAAGTGGGGGCAGTAGAAGGTTGAGGCACTGTGCACTGCTTTGCAGCTCCTTTCTGGGCCGAGGCTCATGTTTTCATTCACTGAAGAAACTTTGCCTGAGCGTCCTCCGTGGGGTGTGGGAGACAGGGTGAGAGAGCTGGTCCTCGCAGCTCTCATTGCTCCCGGGCCTGGGCAGAGGATTCAAGGATTCCCGCCAGCCAAGGATCACCCGGCCAGGGAGGGGTGGAGGCTGCTCTGCGCAGGGTGGGCTGGGCTGGGAATGCAGGAGGCAGGGCTATTTAAGCTGAGTCCTGAGGGCTGGCTGACAACCCCGCGGGCAGCCTGTCCTGTGAGCTGCTGCCATGGATGACATCTACAAGGCCGCGGTAAGGGAAGGGTCTGGGAAGGACTGGGGTGGGCGAGCAAACTTGGAGACCCCTCGGCTCAGAATGGGGGGCAAGGTCTCCCCAGAGACGAGATGTGGGCCCAAGAGAAGCTCCGTATTCCTTCAGCACAGACCCTCAAGGAGACGGTGGAGTTGGCATTTGAGGGTGCAGAGGAGGAAGGGGGATTCAGGGTATGGAGAGGGGCTGTCACAGGGAGTAGGAGGAAGAGCTCAGCGCAGCGTCCCATCTTCCCTGTGTTTCTGAGTGTCTCCTTTGGCAGTCTCTTGCCCACATCTGTAATTCCCGTCTCTGTTTTCTGGGTCCTTTGGTCTTTCTCACTCTCTTTCCACCTTTGTTTCTGCTGGACTCTCTCGCAGTCTCTGTTGCTGTCTCCCGGTCCCCACCTCCCATTTCTACCCCTCACATTCTGTTTCTCACAGGCCCCCAATCGGTCACCCCTGCAGCCCCTTAACTGGCTGAAGATGCTTTGGTGGGCAGGAAGGGGACAGTGAGAAGGGGCTGTGAACCTGAATTCTGGGCTCGCAAAGGGCCTTTGAAGTTCAAGGCCAGGAAGAACAGGGCCTGGGAGAGCCACAGAAGGACGGAGAACAGAGGCTCCAGCCCCCAAGTGCTCTGGCAGGCTTCCGGCTCAGTGCTTGGGGGGCGGTGAGGATGTGGGAGTGAGAGCTGGAGAGTGGTCACCCCAAGTCCCTGCAGCTTCCTGGGGTCACTGAGGGGCTTCAGATGCTATTCTGTCCAGGAGGGGGCAACCTTCCCCCATCCCAGAGACAAGGACATCCTGGCTAGGATGGCTATTCCCAGAAGAACCCCCCCTTTGCCCCCAGAATGTGGCTCCACTCCTGGGCAGAGAAGAGCTAGAGCTGGCTCCGGGGTGCCTCTGCCTATCTTGTAGGAGCCCATGGAGTTGGGGGGGCAGCACTCCGCCCAGTGCCCATACAAGGCCTGGTGGGGCTGGGGACTAATTTTGGCTCCTGTGGCAGCACCAGAAGGCCAGGGGGCCAGATAATGCTGCCCCACCCCCCGCATGCCAGAGTCCCCAGAACAATCACCAGGTTTAACTTTGTCCCCTGTTAAAAATAGCCCAGTGGCCACCCTGGTCAAGTTACAGTGGGTGGCTTTGCTCACCCCGCATTGGTTTTATTGTTCCGACCTGAGGGACAGCTGTCCCTTGAGCCATGCAGCTTGGGTTTCATTAGGGTAGCTGAAAGGCCATGGTGTGGTCACTGCGTATTGTCATTCAGGGTCACCTTGGTCCCAGGGTGTGCCCACCTGTCAGCCTGACCCTGAGCCCAGCCTCTGAGGCCGGCTAGGTTACCTCAGGGCTCCGGTAGGAAGGGAGGATGAAGGCCTTGCTTCTGACTTCCTGCCCGTGGAGCGGCTTGGTGCCCTCTCCACAGCTGAGCCCCTTTCCTTTCTAGGTAGAGCAGCTGACCGAAGAGCAGAAAAATGGTGAGTGCCTCCTGTCTCACCTGTGGGGGAACAGCGCACCAGGCAGGGGAGCAGGGGGTCTTTCTCACGGTGACCAGGTGGGCCGGCAAATGGCTCCAGTGTCCTGACTGCTGCTTTGTCTCCCCCTCGGCCACCGTGGGATAGAATTCAAGGCAGCCTTCGACATCTTCGTGCTGGGTGCTGAGGATGGCTGCATCAGCACCAAGGAGCTGGGCAAGGTGATGAGGATGCTGGGCCAGAACCCCACGCCCGAGGAGCTGCAGGAGATGATCGACGAGGTGGACGAGGACGGTGAGCCCCCACCCCGGCTCCCAGAAACACAACGCCTTGGCTCACCAGGGTCAGGTCCCTGCTCTGTTCAGCCAGGAGCTTTTCCACCTCCTGAGCCTCGGGCATCTCATCAAAATGGGCACAATGACCTCACTGCCTCGGAGTCAGTGGTGGAGGAGGCTGTGATGAGGACAGGGTTTGTACAGCAGGGGGTGGCCTTCACATGGCTGCCTTGCCCACCCCTAGGCAGCGGCACGGTGGACTTTGATGAGTTCCTGGTCATGATGGTCCGGTGCATGAAGGACGACAGCAAAGGGAAGTCTGAGGAGGAGCTGTCGGACCTCTTCCGCATGTTTGACAAGTGAGCAGGCGCGGGCAGGGCGGGCAGACCCGACGGCGGGCCTGGGAATGCTGTGCACCCTCACCCCACCTGCCGGGCCAGAGGGCTGCCTCTCTGGCCCGGCTCTGAGGCCCCCTTGCCCGCCCTGCAGAAATGCTGATGGCTACATTGACCTGGAGGAGCTGAAGATGATGCTGCAGGCTACAGGCGAGACTATCACGGAGGACGATATCGAGGAGCTCATGAAGGACGGTGACAAGAACAATGACGGCCGCATCGATTATGATGGTGAGGGGTGGCTGGGCCTGGTTCCCTGCCATCCATGCCCCGCCAGGCCCGCCGCTGACTCATGCCTGCCCTCTCTCCACAGAGTTCCTGGAGTTCATGAAGGGTGTGGAGTAGACACTGACCTGCCGGAGCTGCCCAGGCCCAGGCTTCCATTCCAGCCAGGCCCAGGGGCGGGAGCAGGGGCCGGGGTCCCCAGGCCCTGAGCCGGATGTGTCTGTGGTCCCTGACCTCCTTGGCTCCCTCCCTCACCCCTGTCCTGGGAAGTACAAATAAAGCCGAGCTCCTACAGGCCTGGTGTCTGGCTCTGCTGTTCCCTGGGGCTAATTCTTCCTGGGGTCTCCTCCTTCTGGACTGCCACGTCAGGCTGCCTGCAGAGCAGTGCTTGGCCTGCCTCCCACCTACGTTCTGCAGGCCGGCTACTGACTGCTTTTCATCGGTGCTGATCCCAGCCCCATGTGCAAGGGTGTCCAGCCTCTGAAGGCCATGGTAGCCCCGGAATCTGCATTGTTGAAAGCCCATTTGGAAGCCTGAGGTCCTCCACTTGGAGGGATCGGTTAGCTGCATTCGGGCCCGCGTGCCCCTTGGCACAGCAACTCCAGCGACCCCTCAGCTCTGGTTGAAGTGAAGCTATACCTAGTTGGGCCCAGCAGGCCGCTGGCTCTACCCTGTCTGCCCACTCAGCAATATAAACTTCCAGGCCCCGAGGGGCATGTGGTCCGCTTGGTGTCCCGTCACCCTCCACAGGTGAGGACCCTACGGCCCAGCCAGCCACAGTCATCTTCAGAGTCTGTGGGAGAACCCAGCCACCTGACTTCCAGTGCAGGGCTGTGTCTGCTGGGCTGGCCTCCAGTGACCCATCTTCTCTCTTGACCGGAAGTGGGAGCCTCAGGCTTGGAGGCTCCCAGCTTAGTAGGGGTACCCAGGCTGGAGCTGGAGCCATAGCAGTGGCCTGGCCTTGGGGAGGCAGTTGGGGGTTGCAAGGAAGTGGAGGTGTGAGCAGTAGCACTTGTAGGAGGGACAACTGCTCTGGGCCCCCAGGCTCAACCAGAATGCCAACAGCTGTTCCTGCTCCTCCCAGCACCCTACAGCCTCTGCACCTGTGTCCCCAGCCTAGGCATTCTCCAGACAGGCTGGGCATTCCAGAGACAGTCTTGGAATTCTAGAAATGCCTCTGGTAGAGGCCAGAGCTGGCAGGAGTTGCCTGGTCCCTGGAGAGACCTGGGAGGGGTGGAGAGGATCCCCTCAGGCCTGCTCTCAGGAGCTGGAGAATCCAGGGAGATACACCCAGAGAGACCCAGAAGGACGACACTGCAGGAGATAAAGAAGGGCCACAGCAGACAGCCCATCCTACCAGCTCATCATCCAACGGTTACTCACCATGTGGTGGCCCGAGGCTGGTTGCTGGGACATTAAAAGCAAGGCCTGGGCTGGAAGCTCCTGGAATTTCTGGTCAATTTGAGGATGCAGAGGGAGAGGCATGCACAGGGATAGAATGACATGGTGGGCCTGTGAGAGAAAGTGGTCCATGAATGCTTCCTGGAGGAGGTGACACCGAGTGAGGCCTAAAGAACTGCAGGGAAGCAGCCATAGAGAAAACTCAGAGGGCCTGAGGAGCAGGAAGGCAGTGCTGGGCTGGCAACCAAGCTCCAGCAGCCTTGTGGGGGAAGTCAGGGGCTGGGTTCTTCTGACAAGCACAGTTCACATGAGGGGTGAGGTGCTCTTGGGGCTGCAGAAGGGGGAAAGGGTTGTGGGGAAGCCAGGCGGCCCACCTGAGTCTGAGGTGGGTTCCAGGTGAGAATGCCGGAAGGTTCCTGGCAGAGTAGGGTGCTGGGGTAGAGAAGAGGTTGGGGTAGTGGGTTCAAGGTATAGCTTGGAACTAGGATAGACAGAACTTGAAGGATTGCATAGGAGAGGTGAGAGACTAGGGAATGAAGGATGGCCCTATTATTATTATTTTTGTGTGTGGGGGGGGTTGAGACAGAGTCTCACTGTGTAGTTGAGTCTCACCTGGAATTCACTATGTAGACCAGGCTGGTCTCGAACTCACAGCGATCCTCCTGCCTCAGCCTCCCGAGTGCTGAGATTACAGGCATGCGCCACCACGCCTGGCTGGCCCTGGGATTTTTGGTCAGGCTCCAATTTCCTGACAGTTGGAAGCTTGGAAGCAGGGTTCAGGCCAGGGGTATTGCAAAGTAGAGTTTTGGGTTTTTTTCTTTTTGTATTGTTTTTGTTTTTCATTTTGAAATTCCAGACTTGTAAATGTTACAAAAATAGTACAAAGAGCATCATTTATGCCTCAGCCAGTTTACCCAAATTTTAACTCTTTAATCACGAAGCAGGAAATCAACATGGACACCACACTTCTAACTTACCTGCAGACTTCCTGAAAATTTGTCAGTTGTCCTATTAAAGTCCTTTTCCTGGATCAGCCAATTTAGAGATCTAATGTGATCCACCTCTCCTGTCCCCTTGCTCCTCACAAATCTGTGACTGTTTCAGTCTTTCTTGGTCCTTCAAGATCTTGACATTTTGGAAGGGTGCAGGCCAGTCATTTTATAGAATCTCATTCACTGTGAGTGTTTCCTCCTCATGACCTTTTTGGTCCACATCAAAGTTGAAATGCCTTTGATACGGGCTGGGGAGAAGGCCAAAGCCAGGTCGGAGGTAGGGGAGGGGCAGAGCTGCAGCTGTGAATGTAGGTGTCATCAGTGTGGAAGCCTTTTCCCAGCTTTGGTCACAAATGAGGGCCTTGGGAGAGTTTGGAGAGAGAGAGAGGTGGCAGAGGGCCAGATGCCAGGCACTCCATGTGGGCAGCCGGAAAGGACATGCGGTCAGTGGGTGAGAGAGATTCTGGAATGAGCTACAGGACCGGGATGGAGGAGGGGAACGTGAGGGCTTGGACGGCAGCTGGAGGCCCTCAGGCTGTGGGGACGGGGTGGGGGGTTTCAGTGAGCACGGGGAGTGAACTGAGTCCAGGGACCGGAGGCTGGGGTGGGGCAGTGTTTGAGAGGGGTAGGGAGTGGCTCGTGCGCTCTGTGGGCAAGCCCTGGAGCAGGCCGGGGGTGGTGCAGGTGCAGGGCAGAGGTACCAAGGCTGTGTGGCTCTGGAAGGGTCTGTCAGGTCCTGGTCCCTGTGCTGGGCCCCAGGTCTCAGCTGGGCCGGAGGAAGATTGGGCAGATAGGTCACAGGGGCTGGGGGGGCACTGAGGTGCAGATGGTGGTGTTCAAAGGAAGCGATGTCCTAGAGGGCTGTGCAGGGTTCATGTCACTTTTGGTGGCTACTGGAAGGGTAAGTGACTGAAGCAGGGGAGGCTGAGGTGACTGGTAGTAAGCAGAACAGGGACTCAAGAGGCCGGGGCAGGGAGAGATGGGATGGAAGATGGTCCTACCTGCAGTGGGCGCTCCAGGGACACAGCGAAGGATTTGGGTGGGGGCCGGTGGGACTATCTGCCCATCTCTGCTCCACCACGAGATTGGTAGGGAAGGGGCCAGGAGCATCCATTCTTCCAGGTATGCCCACCTAGAATTCCTCCTGGGTGTGCACCCGCTGACACCCGCTGTGTGAGCATGCACGTCACACACACACATTGGCCCAGGGCTCACAAGTTCCAGTACACCCGTGGCGCACTGTCTCGCGCATACACACCTATCTCTGTCCATTTTTCTGGGCCTTCACTTCTGAGCTGTGCATCCTTTGCCTGCATAATGCTTCCTCCATGAAGACTCCCTTGATTTCTCCATTGTAGGTGCCCGGTTAATGCCTGCCTCCCTAAGAACGTGGGAGCCTGATCCAAAGTGCCCCTTTGGAAATCCCGGTGGTTCCATCTCCTTCCACTAGATGGCACCCGATCCCTGGGGCTGGGCCCATGGCTCCCGGAATTGGGCAACCGGTCTGCTTCCTACCTGTAGCCAGCAGGCTGGGCCTTCAGCAGAGATCCTATTTCCTCTCTAAACTGGGAAACTGAGAGGTCTGGAGATGGGGAGCTCCTGACCAAGGTCAGGCAAATCAACACAGTTTGCGGTCCCAGCCCATGCCATGGGATCTTTCCATAGTGTGGAGCGAGCTGGCCCTCATTCCCTGCCCCAGTAACAAGGGCTGCCTGCAGCCTCAGCGTTGGGCTCGGCAGGCCGGCTGAGTGCTTGGCTTTCCTGCCCACAGATGGTGACCACATGGTGGCTGACAGGCTCTTGGTCCAATCTCCAGTGAGATGTTGGCCTCCAGCCTGGGCACTGTCAGCAACTCCGGGGAAATGGAGGCAGAGGGGCTCCACCCTCTGAAGCCCCAGAATGACATCACTCTGTAGCAGTCCCTCCATCAGCACTGCTCACAATTTATGAGCCCTGTTATACCCAGACCTGCCCAGGTTCTGGGCCAAGGCTTGCACAGCCAGAGGCAGGGGCAGGCTGAGTGGTCATGGTCTCTGGGCAGCTCCAAGTCGCGTACAAGATGAGTTTGTGATCCCCTAGTCCGAGGGCCAGCCTGTTTCCCTTCTGGGGCCGAGCTGGGGAGAGTAGGTGGGATTCCCGGAGCCCCGGAAGCAATGAGGGCCCCAGGAAGGGCCAGGGCGGGCTGGCCCTATTTGCAGCCTGTGTGTGACATGGTGAGGTCCTTCCTTCTCCGCGTGCCCCTCAGTTTCCTGACCAGCTGAGGGCTAAGGCCGATCCATCTGTGACACCCAACCTGCAGCACTTTCTAGACTCCTGGAAGCCTCTACTTCAGCTCAAAGTTAAAATCTTAGTGCCCAAGGCCTCAGATTCTGAGTGTAGGGGTCTGGGGTGGGGTGAAAGGGGAGTTGGGTGGGGCAGGGGCAGAAGCTGCTCTCAGAGCAAGGTTACCCACTCGCCCCAGATTCATCCACCCTGTCTCATCTCCCCCAACCCATTCCATCCCCCTACCCCTGCCCAATCAGAGTGGAGGGCGAGGATCATGACATACAGGACCTGTGGGGCTCTGGACCTTGGGTTGCTGAAGAACTGGGGGTTCTCCCTGGGCATGGAATGGGCCCTGGACCCCACTCTGAAGCGAGCCCAGCGAGCTGAGGTGGGCCCTGGAGCATGTGAGGAGGGGCTGTGGAGTCCTTGGGGGCCAGGCCCAGGATTAGTTTATGTGGGGGGGGTCCTCTGCTTATGGGTACTGAAGAGGCAGAGAGCAAAGTGACCCCAGCCCTACCCCCACCCAGGCTTTCAAACTCTGACCTCTGATCTCTGACCTCTCCTTTGGGCTGTCTTCTCCGTTGTCACTTTACTGGAGCCTGGGGGCCTGCGTGTGTGTATGTTTTTCTGTGCAGGCTGTCCACACCTCAGATGGGGAAATCTCCCTACCGGGGTTCTGGCCAGCTGAGGTGGAGGCGGAGCAGCAGGTGGACGGAGAGTTCTTCCCACCGCCCCTCCTCCTCCCCGCCTTCCCGCCCGGGCTGGGTGGAGCTGCTGCCTTATAAGTGGCTGGCTGGCCTGGTGGCAACAGCACAAACTGCAGCCAGCAGCAGGACCAGAGGGCGCCCCGTTCCCCAGCATGGCCCCCTTGGCCTGGGCTATCTGCTGCCTTGTGGGGAGCCTCTTGCTCCAGGAGGGCAGTGCCAGCATGCCCCGCCTGCGGCTCTCCTACCGAGGTACCGGCCAGTACTGACCTTTTCTCCTGCATGTCAGATGAGTGCCCTGGGCTCCAGGACATCCCCGGAAGGGGACACCCAGGCCCTGTACAGCCCTTGGCAAAGGCTTCCAGGGTGGTGCTGGGGATGGCCAAGGGAGGGTTAGGGCGGGAGGCAAGTCCTGGAAGCCACACCAGGGCGGGGGGGACCCTGAGGGGAGAGGGAGACCTGTGGAGACTGGGAGACCCAGGCAGATAAGGGACAGAGGGGGCAGGTCTGGCGGATCAGGGAACAGCAGGGAGGGAGCAGCAGCCTGTTCCACTGGGAGGGTGTCTCTCACCCAGGAGCCCAGGGGCCAATTCCTCTTTCCTCTGCCACCCTGCTGGGGGCAGGGGCTTCTTCTGTCCTCACCCAGCTGTATGGTGCTGCAGCTGGCTCAGCCTCCTCTGAATGTCCCTGAGACACAGGCTTGTGGCAGGTTTTTTTCTTGGGGTAAACTGTAGTAGTCACTTTCCCAGAGGAAGAACCCTGGTCAGAGGCCAGAGATACAAGGCTGCTGCGGAGCTTGGAAGGGACACGTCGCTCTGCCCTAGGGAGTCGGAGGGAAAAGTGGTCCTGCAGTGGCAACTGTGGTTTAGGGGGCAGGTCAGGCTACTAGAAAAGCACGCCCCCACCAGCTGGCTGCGGTGTACTTCTGTAATCCCAGCCCTCTGGGAGGAGGAGGCAGGAGGATTGTAAATTAGAGCCCACCCTGGGCAATTTAGTGACCGAACAAGACTCTGTCTCAAAAATAAGAAATCAGAAAGGACAGAGGGTGTAGCTCAGTGTGAAAACCCTGGGTTCACTCCCCAGTATCACACACACACACACACACACACACACACACACACATACACACACAACCCCAGTAGGGAAAGCTCCCTAAGGTGTACACAACATGGAAGGCTTCCTGGAGGAGCTGTTGATGGGTATGGCAATGGAGTGGGGTCAGGGCTGACACGCTCCTGTACGGAGAGGCATATGGTGTTCTGGGCCTTCTCAAGGGTGGCCTGTGCCCCCTTCTTTTTTTGGTGTTTTGAGACAGGGTCTCACTATGTAGTTGAGACTGACCTGGAACTCACTATGTAGCCCAGGCAATCCTCCTGCCTCAGCCTCCCGAGTGCTGGGATTACAGGTGTGCACCACCACACCCAGCTTGCCTTGCCCGCTTCTCATCCCACCCTATTGGCGGTCTCCTGTTGGCACCTCAACTCCATCTTGCAAACCAAGACCTATGTCAAGATCCTAATTCCTGGATCCCCTGTTCTCAGACAGCTCCCCTCCCACCTCTGAAGCCCAGACAGGCAGCATCCAGGAGAAGATCCTCGCTGGCCAAAACTCTGAGCTGCAGGCTGGAACTCTGCCCAGCCATGCCTCACCTACCCCTGGCCTAGGTCCTTCTGGTGTCCCTGTTCTGGGGACCCACTCTCCTGCCTGTCCATCTGTGCCACACAGTCAGCCTGGCTCGATGCTCATACTCGACTGCCCTTTGTCCAAGCCCCCCTGTACTGCCCAGCTTGCAGCTCTAGTTTCTGTCAGTGGGGCCATCATCCCCGGGGACTGGGCAGGCACAGGTAGGACAGTGGGAAGGTGTCAGCCGAAAGATTAAGGAGCTGAAGAATGGAGGAGCGGACGGCAAGTGGCCAGGGTCATGGGATTGGGTGGAGGCTCGGAGCCCGCTGTTCCACTTGTGCCCAAGAGCCATGTGCCAGTTGCCGCCCAGCAGCCCCGTGGATGGAGACATTTCCCAGTGTGTGTGCATGTGCATGTGTGTGCAGATGCACAGCTGGGACCCTTGGCGGGGTGAGTAGCTGATCCGCCACCCTCTGCTCCTTCCTAGACCTTCTGTCTGCCAATCGTTCTGCCATCTTTCTTGGGTCCCGAGGTTCCCTGGACCTCCAGGCCATGTACCTTGATGAGTACCGGGACCGCCTCTTTCTGGGGGGCCGTGATGCCCTCTACTCTCTGCGGCTGGACCAGGCATGGCCAGATCCCCGGGAGGTGAGCTGGACAGATGGGGGAGCGGTGGGGAAACAGGGTGTGAGGTTGGGGGAGGACCTGAGGTCACCAGGCTGTGTTTTAGGTCCCATGGCCACCGCAGTCAGGACGGAGGGAGGAATGCATTCGAAAGGGAAGAGATCCTTCGGTGAGTGCTATGGGGAGGGTCTGTTCCCCACCTCAGCAGCCCTAGGCCCTGACCCCAGGGAGGTCTGCAGCTGCTCCCATAGGTCCTGTGGGGACATGTGGAGCAGAGTCTGAGGCTTTTGGAGGTGTGTGAAGAATGTCTCCTGGATGCACTTCCCAGAGCTGACCAGCCAGGCAGGGCTGAGACTCAGCCAGGGAGATGGTGAGCCCTGCCTCACCTCTGGATGCCACCCTTCCACCTCTCTGCTAGACGGAGTGTGACAACTTTGTGCGTGTGCTGCAAACCTACAACAGGACCCACCTGCTGGCATGTGGCACTGGGGCCTTCCAGCCCACCTGCGCCCTCATCACAGTTGGGCACCGTGGGGAGGTGAGCCGGGGCCAAACCCACGGAGGATGGGAAGCACCGACACTTCCTCCCTGCTGCCTGAACGGCTCTCATTGAGCCCAGGCAGGGACAGAGGCAGCACAGACCTGAAAGGCGCCTTTGTTCTGGGGTGCTGACCCCGCTAGAGAGGCCTAGAATGAGGGTGACTTCTACACCCCCACTCTCCAGCTGCACGCAAGGGCTGCTGCATGGGTGGAGGGCTGGGGCTGCTTCCCTAGGTGACGCCCGGCCCCTTCCCCCAGCATGTGCTCCACCTGGAACCCTACACTGTGGAAGGTGGACGGGGACGGTGCCCGCACGAGCCCAGCCGTCCCTTCGCCAGTACCTTTGTAGGTGGGTGATGCCAGGCCGGAGTGGGCACAGGGAGAGCAGGAAGGGCAGCCTGGCCCTCCTCTGCTGATTCTATCCCCTCCCGTCTCCAGGTGGGGAACTGTACACAGGCCTCACTGCCGACTTCTTGGGGCGCGAGGCCATGATCTTCCGAAGTGGCGCTCCCCGGCCAGCTCTGCGTTCAGACTCTGATCAGAATCTCCTGCATGGTGAGGCAGGGCTGGCTGGCACTTGCCTCTGTCCCTGACAAGGAAGGAGATGCTGGAGTGGGGAGGGAGGCCACCTCCAGTGGGTCCCCATGGTGCGTCCTCTCCCTTCTGGGTGCAGCCCCCAGCATCATCCTGTCATTCTCCCAGATCCTCGGTTTGTCTTGGCCGCACGGATCCCTGACAACTCTGACCAGGACAATGACAAGGTGTACTTCTTTTTCTCGGAGACTGTCCCTTCGCCCGATGGTGGCCCAGGCCATGTCACCGTCAGCCGTGTGGGCCGAGTCTGTGTGGTGAGAGCTGTGAAGGGGTGGTAAGGTTCATGACCCTGCCGCAGGCCCTTTCCCAGACCGCACCCCATAGGGAAACTGAGGCAAAGCTGACCTCTGCACCTCCCCCGCCATGGGCGAGGGTGGAGGAGATGGAGGTAGGGCCCATGCTGTGGAGCCCCTGGCTGACTCTGGCCCCCACCCCAGAATGATGCTGGTGGTCAGCGTGTGCTGGTGAACAAATGGAGCACCTTCCTCAAGGCCAGGCTGGTCTGCTCCGTGCCCGGCCCTGGAGGTGCCGAGACCCACTTTGACCAGCTGGGTAAGGGCGTGGTGGGGCGGGCCTGTGTGCTGGGAGCGGGGGTGCTCAGAGTTGGTGGGGGCATCTTGGCTATGACTGTGCTCCTGTGCCCCTTCTGTGTCCCAGAGGATGTGTTCCTGCTGTGGCCCAAGGCAGGCAAGAACGTCGAGGTGTACGCACTGTTCAGCACCGTCAGGTGGGTGCACCTGGCCTTCCTGTGCCCCACCATCACTGGCCCTGTCTTGACCTCTGGTCCTCGGCCTTTCTGTGCCATCCTTGCTGTGGGTCCTTTTCTTTATCCCTGAGTCAGGGTTCTGTGACTGTGTTCTCCATCTCCCTCTTTGCTTTTGCCTTGGTGTCCTTGCTTTTCAGACTCTATTTGCAGCACGGACTGTCACCTCTATCCTGCCTGTGGCTAATCGGTCCCCTTCCTGCGTGTGACAGTGACCCCGGCCTGATTTCCTGTTGTTGGCAGTGCTGTGTTCCAGGGCTTCGCTGTCTGTGTGTACCACATGGCAGACATCTGGGAGGTTTTCAACGGGCCCTTTGCCCACCGAGATGGTCCTCAGCACCAGTGGGGGCCCTACGGGGGCAAGGTGCCCTTCCCCCGTCCCGGCGTGGTGAGTGTCTGCTTGGCATGGGGCCTTGAACCGATGTCATGAGGGCCTCCTCCTTGGAAAGCCCAGGTCCTGCGGCAGACCCGTGGCAGGGATGGCCGGGGCTCTGGAGGGCCTGGCTGGGGTGGAGCGTAGTAGGAGGTGGGAGAGGCTCCGTGGGGGTGGAAACAGACTGGGGGGCGTGCCGCCCCAGGTAGGCCATGCGCTCTCTTTGTTGCTGCCTGCAGTGCCCCAGCAAAATGACTGCAAAACCAGGACGACCTTTTGGCAGCACCAAGGATTACCCAGACGAGGCACTGCAGTTCGTCAGAGCCCACCCTCTCATGTTCCACCCTGTGCGGCCGCGGCGTGGCCGGCCTGTCCTCATCAAGACCAACCTGGCCCAGCTGCTGCGGCAGATCGTGGTGGACCGTGTAGAGGCAGAGGATGGGACCTACGATGTCATTTTCCTGGGGACGGGTAGGAGGGCTGAGGGCAGGTGGCCCGGTTGGGGAGGTGTGTGGGCTCCCCTGCCTGCCCTACTGACCTCTCCACCGCTGCCCCAGACTCAGGCTCTGTGCTCAAGGTCATGGCTCTGCAGGCAGCAGGCTCAGCTGAGCCTGAGGAGGTTCTTCTGGAGGAGCTGCAGGTGTTTAAGGTGAGCAGGGGCTGATGGAAGGGCCTCCATCTAGTTCCTGGGGTTGAGGCTGCCTACAGGGAAGCCCGAGGTGCTTCCGGATGACTGAGGGGCCCAGAGCTGAAGGCCGAGAGTGGCTCCCTTGCAGGGATGACCACGGTGAGCGCCTTGACGGATCCCTGCAGGGCTCACAGTGAGGAGGTAGCTGAGACCCCCCAAGTTCCCAGGGATTCTGCTGCCCTAGCTGGGCAGTGGGCCATCTGTGTTTGGGGCACTGTTAGCCCTACTGGACTCAGGATGGGCGATTTGGGACAGCACCTCCTTTCCAGGGAACAGGGCTGTGGGAGGGGACACTGGATTCTATGCTCTGAGCTAAGCCTCCCACTTGGAGGCCAGCCAGGAAGAGGAGACTCTTTTTTGGTAACCTGATGTCTAAGAAAGACTATCCAGCCTTAGTTGGGAAAAGGTGCACTGGGCAGGCTGGGAGATAGGTGGCTCCCAGCCAGGGCTTGGAGGAGGCTGAAAGCAGTGACACAGGGAGGGGCTTATCCTATACCACCCACCCTGAGAGCCTGCTCCTCCCCAGGTGCCAACGCCCATCACTGAGATGGAGATCTCTGTCAAAAGGGTAAGAGCGCTGCCCCTTCCTGCATGCCCCCACCCGCCTCTGTCCGCAGCCCCCTTGAGCACTGCAGGAGAACTGAGCTGGCTGGGTTAGGTCTTGCATCTAGGCCCTAACTGCCCAGGAGCTGGACTTTATGTGTACGAGACAGCGGGTAGTGGGTGGCACTGAGCAAACAAATAAGGACAGAGCCACCAAGGCCAGTTCTGGAGGAAGATGAAATGTGCTTGGGAATGGAATCTAGATTTCAGATCAGAGAAGGGGGCTATTTTTATGTGTTCTGTGTGCCATTTTGCAAATTGCAAATACCATACCCATCACAGTTGGTAAATCCCAACTTTTAAACTGGAATTGCTTAAAGTAAGGTACACCTCTAGAATCAGAGGCTAGTCCAGGAAAGGCCATGGGGTAGAGGGCAAGGCCAGCAGCAAGGAGGCCTGGCAGAGTCCCCTAGAGAAGACCCTTACACACCCTAACCCTTTCACATCCTACCACAGAAATCTGCTGTAGGTGGTGGGTGATTAATGTCTTTGTTTCTGTGAATGAATCCGAGAGGCTCTGGAAGGCTCCTTGAAGTGGCAGAGGTCTCAGGAAACCCACAGGGCTGACAGCGTGGCTGCTTCTCGGTGGAGGCCAGGCTTCCTAGGGCTCTGCTTGTGTTCTTCCCCAGCAAATGCTGTATGTGGGCTCTCAGCTGGGTGTGGCCCAGCTGCGGCTGCACCAGTGTGAGACCTATGGCAGAGCCTGTGCGGAGTGCTGCCTAGCCCGGGACCCCTACTGTTCCTGGGATGGTGCCTCCTGCACCCGATATCGCCCCAGCCTGGGCAAGCGCCGCTTCCGCCGGCAGGACATCCGGCATGGCAACCCTGCCACACAGTGCCTGGGCCAGAGCCAGGATGGTGAGTGGGGCCCTGCTTGTCCTGTGGCCTGGCATCCTCCCTGTAAAGAAGCACCTCTGGCTGATCCTGGTGTCACAGTCCTCAGTGGCTCTGTCTGTGCAACCACAGTGCATGTGCAGAGCCTTGGGACACATGATGGGCTTGGGATGGACAGACACCTAGTCCTTGTCACACTAGTGGGTCGTGGGAGTCAGTTGGTAGCCCTGGGGTCCTGGGTCCCTGAGTTCCCAAGGTGAGTCAACCTGGGCCTCTCTGCAGAGGAGGCTTCAGGACTGACGGCCTCCAGGGTCTATGGCACGGAGCACAATAGCACCTTCCTGGAGTGCCTGCCCAAGTCTCCCCAGGCTGCTGTGCGCTGGTTCTTGCAGAGGTCAGAGGACAAGGGGCCTGACCAGGTAAGGAAGGACCCTATTGCAACCCTCCCACCCCAAACCCCGAACCCTCAGCCTGAGAAAAGCATTCTGGAGGAAACCTGTTAAGATCAATCCAAGAAAAGTATATATTAGGCTCCTGGGGTGCCTAGCGGGGGCTGTCCCTATTTCTGCCTCTGGGTATGCCGAGGCCGGAAGTGGCTGGAACTCTACTAGTCCAAGAGGTGGGTAAGAGAGATGGAAGAGTGGGAAAGGGACCTGTGACAGTCCCGAAGTCCCCCATGCCTAGGCTTGTGGCTCAGCTTGGAGGATTCTCTTCCCCAGGGGTTCTTGGTCCCCTTCTGCCCCAAGCCTGAGTCCCTGATCACTGGCTCTTGCCCCACCTCCATACTTCCTGGCTCTACATTTCCTCCTTGGAGACCAGCTATCTTCCCTGGCCCTGTCCTCCCCATCCAGACGAATCTGTCAGCCCCTCAGCCCTCAGATGGCTTCAGTCTGGGGCCTGAGGCTAGGTGTGGGCCAGCAGAGTGAGGAACCATTCTCTCACAGGGAACGGGAGGGGTGGGTGTTGATTACAGGAGGGCTCTCCCTCCAGCTCCGGAGCTGTTGGGCTGGGCACCGAGAAGACTCCCTGGGGTAGGAGGGATTAACGGGATGAAGTTGTGCAACACTAACCACCCAAGCAGTCTCTCCTCAGCACACAGAGGCAAACTAAAGCTCAGACAGGGCTCAGAGACGTGGGCTGCGGTCAGAGCCACACTCCCACCTCCTATGCTGACGTGGGTGCTCAGCCTACCCAGGCTGGGGCGGGCAGGCTCACACCGTGGGGAGTGAACAGGGCAGATCAGGACAAGAAGCCACCTGGTGCGTGTCAGCGGAAAGCCTGCACATTCCCCTGTGAGCCTTCTGCTCCCTGGGTATGTGTGCAAGGGCCCTGTGAAGCCAAAATTTGTCCCCCAGGGCCCTGACTAGGGGAGACCCTCATTTAAAGTTGTGAACAGTTTTGCAGCCCCTTTCCTGGGTTATGGAAGGTGAAGGCCTGCCTACAATGAGCTCGTCTTCCGAGTATGGGCCTACGAAGCTGCTGGTGACCCTTGGGAAGGGGAGAACAGGCAAGGGGAAGTACCCAAGCACTGGGTCCTGAGGATAGCAACCTTGGAAAGAGGGCAAAGGAGCTGATGGCACGGGTCCTGCCCTGCCTCATATCCCCTATGCCTTCTGCCCACTTGTCAGGTGAAGACAGATGAACGAGTCCTACAAACAGAGCAGGGGCTGCTGTTCCGCAGACTCAGTCGTCTTGATGCCGGCACCTATACCTGCACAACGCTGGAGCACGGCTTCTCCCAGACTGTGGTCCGTCTGGCTCTGGAGGTGATTGCAGCAGCACAGCTGGACAGCCTGTTCCCTAGAGAGCCGAGGCTGGAGGAGCCCCCCACCCGGGGAGGCCTGGCCTCTGCCCTGCCCAAGGCCTGGTATAAAGACATCCTGCAGCTCACTGGCTTTGCCCACCTGCCCCAGGTGGATGAGTACTGTGAGCGCGTGTGGTGCAGAGGCGCCGGGGAGCGTTCAGGCTCTTTCCGAAGCCAGGGAAAGCAGGCCAAGGGCAAAAGCTGGGCAGGACTGGTACTGGGCAAGAAGGTAAAGAGTCGGGGTCAGGCTGAGCGCAACCGGACGCCTCGGGAGGTGGAGGCCACATAAAAGGGCCCGTGAGGCGGGTGTCAGGATGGGCTGGGAACCTGGCAGCAACTTCCAGCATCTTCTGCCCACCCAGCTAAGACAGAGGGGGCCAGGATGCCTGATTGCCTCTTAGGGACTCACAAGAAAGACTGGTGGCCTGAGGGAAGGGCCCTGTGCCCAAAGCCTGTTCCCTGCCCCTCTCTGTGTCCTCAGTCTCAGACTGAAGCTGGTGCCCTCTGGCCCCTGGCAACCCCAAAGGACCTGCCACTTGTTCTCAGAGATGGCCTGGCTTCCGGAGCACATTTCCGGTTTTGCCCAAAGCAAGAGGGCTGGGTGGTTCTTTCCCAGCCTGCAGAACAATGGCCATTCTAAGTGACCCTCAGAGTGGGTATGGGGGTAGTTCTAAGGAAATATCTGGGCAAGGGTCCTCAGGCAGCCCAAGGAATGTAGAAGTGGCCTCTTAAGGTTGTACCCATTAAGAAGAGAGTTGGGGAGGAAAAGCGGAGGAGTTGAGGCACAGCGGTGACACCCTGCCCCTTCCCTTTTGTGCCATGATATGCTGGTGGTTCCCTGCCATAGCCCCTCACCTCTTCTGCATCTCAGAATTACAGCGGCATCGGCCGCTGGCTATCTGGGAGCGGTCTGGGACTCAGGTCCCACTTTATAACCAGAGAGAGAGATCTCACAGCCTGACCTCCCTTCCTCAGGCCTCAAACTGTCAGGCCAGGTTTGCTGCACACGTGTGTGCTAACACCTCCTGACAGATCCATTACTGTTAGGTTCCCATGCTGAGAAGCAGGAAGAGGGATAGGATCTAGGGAAGGGATGGCGAACCTTTTAGAGCTTTCGATGATAACAACACACTGCAGCACACGTTCCTTAGGTTCACCACCACTGAGCTAGGGAATGTCAGCCCTCACCTCTGGATTAGAGAGGGAGAGGGGAGTGGCCTGTCTTTCCAGCACAGTGTGACACATCCCAGACCTGGAAGGTTAAGAATGTGGAGGCCCTGTGAGCTGCAGCTGGTTGTCAGGACTGGAGCCGGGACTTTTTCCAGAGAATTGAGAAGCTGTGGACACGGGGGAGGGTGGGAGTCCCTCAGGATGAGCTATGAACCCACCAGCAGGTGTCCTCGAGAACTCAAGATGATATTGATTAGTTCAGGAGCCACGGGGAAGGCCAGATGTTCCCTGGAGTCTCTATTTTCTGCTAAATAAGGATCAGGCATGGATAGTTCATTTTAAAGGCTTTCTTCCTTCCTTCCTTCCTTCCTTCCTTCCTTCCTTCCTTCCTGCCTTCCTTTTGTGGTGCTGGGGATGGAACCCAGAGCCTTGTACATGCTAAGCAAGCACACGACCCAGAAGCAGGTGTCCCCAAGAACTCAAGATGACATTAATTAGTTCAGGAGTTTTTTTTTTTGTTGTTGTTTGTTGTTTGTTTTTTGTTGTTTGAGACAGGGTCTCACTATGTAGTTGAGACTGACCTGGAACTCACTATGTAGCCCAGGCTGGTCTCGAACTCACAGCGAACCTCCTGCCTCTGCCTCTGCCTCCTGAGTGCTCAGATTACAGGCGTGTGCCACCATGCCCAGCAGTTCAGGAGTTATAAACTGAGATTAATCTTCACTTTTCCTTTTTTTTTGCTTGAGAAAAAAAATCCTGGTTCTTGATGGTGAAGCTCATATGACAAGGTCATATTTTTCTTGGGTATGTAAGAGGAGGTGTTTTGTCATCAGCAGTTTCTTGGGCTAGGGAGCACAGGGAAGGAGGAGGACAACTAAATGAAAATGTATTTCCAGCCTACACGTGAATAAGTTAGTGACACACAAAACTGACAGGAGACAAGAGTTTGAGATTCCCTTCTTTAAAAAAAAACAAGATAGGGCTGGGGATTTAACTTAGTGGTTCTGCCACCTGACTTGTAAGTGCAAGGTCCCGAGTTTGATCCCTGGTACCAAAAAAACCCCAAAAAACACCCCCCCCCAAAAAAAACAAGATAAAGAAAGAAGGGAGGGGGGATCAAAGTAGGATTTCCCATCCTACTGAAACTCCAACCCTGAGGGCCTTGGGCTTTATTTCTCCCATCCTGACACTGCCAGAGTACTGGGGTCTGAAATAGTGCCCTCTTCACCCCTTTGTGAGGCAAGTGAACTGCAAGCCCTGAAATTAACCTACCAACAACTTGAGAGTTCCTGCTTGGAGGTGCTGTCTTTTGGGATATCAGCTGGTAAAAGCAGAAGCAAGGAACAGGAAGCGGGGGTGTGGCTGGAGGAAAGCAGGGAGTGGGAGACAGGAAAGATGAAAGAGATGGAGGAGAAAGTGTGGGCTCCATGAAAAGGTATTAGAGCTGCAGCCTGCTCTGCCCCTTTGTCCCTGGGAATCCAGAAAGAGACGTGTGAGACCTTAGTGGCCTTCGCACAGGCCTTGGCTTAGCAGGCTCCATGCAGGGTACTTTGAGGAAATGGCCCGGGAGAACAGAGAGAGGAGGAGCACAAGATCCTGAACAGTGCACACCTGCTCTTGGAAAACTATGGACAGTTCTACCAACTCCTGTGCTTCCCACGGTACTGTGTGTTATTAACTCCTGGAAATGCCCTCTAGGTGTGAATTTTATTTTGGTGTTTGTATGTCAAGATGGGCTTGTAATTTCTCTCTTTTCACAGTATACTTCTTGTAATGACTACTGTTATTTTCATTTCGATGACTGTCCCTGAGCTCTGCTGAAGAAAGGAGAGCCTACAAGGAAAGAGATGAAGTTAATATTTATATCACATAATTATATCATTATTATATCTTTGTACTTCTGTACCAAATTGACTGCATGATCTGGAAAAGGAGAGCACACCCGACTCTTCTGGGAGGGAAATCACCCTGGGTGGTATTTTTTAGCAGGGAGGGGAAATGGGCATAGCAGGGGAAGGAAGGAGTCAGAGGGCTTTTGTCTAGGAAGCTGAGATCGCTCATTAAAATAGGAAAATCCTGTCCTGAGGACTTGTAAAGCTGACATTTTTGGAACTTCAAGAGGATCTTGAGCAAGAAAAAAAAAATGCTGGCTGGCATAGGGCAGCCAGGCACGTAGGCAGCTCTGCTCCTTTTTCACAACACTTGACATTTGTAATAGACACTTAGCTGGGTGCTGTCTGCATCCCAAGCCACATACCAATGTATATTAAGGCTGCCAACTTCATTCCTGGGCTGTGCTGAGGTGTGGGGGCTGCATCTTCTGGAGAGGGGAGGAGGCCCAGAGAATCTGACCCTCTGGGCATGCTGCTACTTTGACAATGCCCTCTGCCAGAAGAGCCCACTCCACTGTGCCAAAGGGAGATGGAAAAAACCACAGATGAAAGGGACACACATCACCTTGCCTCTCAGGGAGGCTGCCCTGGGTCCCTGTGGGCCTCTCCATCCACCTAGCCATATAGGCTAGGGGCCTTAAGAGTTCAGTCATCAGCCGCATCTGATAGCCTGGCCCTGGAGCTAGGCCTCTCCTTTGGTATCCTGCCTCCTTCACAAACACCTAGGCACAACAAAACCTAAAGCCCTGTTAGCTTAGCCCAAGCCACCATCACCACTGACTGAGCCTTCATTGGAACACCTATTCAGCACTGGCCTGGCGGGGTGGGCGATTATGGCCCCTGGAACCGCCTTCTCCCTCTGTGCACGGCTCTCCCTGAGGCAGCCCAGTGTCTCTGCTCCAGCTGTCACTGCGCTCTGACAAGCCCTTCTTCCCAGATGACGCCCTGGCCTCCCTGCCCCTCCCACTCCCATCTTGACTCTATTTCCTGCTCTAGCAGTTTTGCCTCTTCCTCTTGCAGCTTTCCCAATGAAGTCTCAAACTTCCTCTGGTCTCTCGGCCTTGATTTTATGATTTTCCAAACAGATTTAGAGCTGGAAAATATTTAGAGTTGGAAAGACTATTTGAATGTTTCCGAAATGGTAATCCCTGCAGATCCTTCATAAAATCTCTTGGTTTCTACATCAAATTAGAGGATTTCTGCCCACTTTGTTTCCACAGAGCTGGTATGGGATGCTTGCCTGGCCTGTGAAGGCCCTGAGAAGTCCTGTGATGGTCTTTCACTCATTGACATGACTACTATGTGCTCTGTGATTCTCCAGAAACATTTAGTCTTCTCTTGTTTTTCCCATGGAGCAGCTAGCATCTTACATTTCTAATGCGTTGAAGAGTACTTTGGAAAAATGGTGTCGAGTCTTTATTTTCACATATGAAGTTAATCTCTGCCTCCAAAGCTTGTAAAATCTGGATGCCCCAACCTCCTAGGTATCAATCACATCTGGGTTTCCTGTGGCCTTCCCCAGAGTCAGACCTGCCTCCCCAGGGATGGGTCTGCCAAGCCACCAGCAGTCTGCTGACACTTGGGCATAGACACTGCCTGGCCTCTCTCTGGCTCCCATCCTCTCACACCCAGGCTGCTCCCCAGCTTCCCTTGGTCCCTCGTGTGTTTGGCATGGTCCTCTATATGGACAAGGAAACATCCCAAGCTGGAGGCTATCCTGAAACCCAAAAGAGTAATTTCTCAAGAAGGGTAGGGGGCAGAATAAGGGAGGAAACTGCCTTTTACATTTTCTCAAATAGCTTCTCTGCTCCCCTTTCATTTACCTGGAGTCATTAGGGGCGTGGGCATATAGCAGCCTCCAGGAGCCTGGCCTGTCTCCAGCAAAGCTGTCCTCCTTGTACACAGCAGAGATACTGGCTGCAGCCCCAGCCAGCTGGGCTCCAGAGGACCAGCTCTTATGCCTCTGCTGGACCAGCAAATGCAGGCTTCTCTGGCAGCCACATCTTAGAACTAGTCACTCAGAAATAGTCCAGTTTCCATCTGGGTTAAAGACCCACCCTGACTTCATCCCAGTCCTGGGCTACAGAGGATTCCATAAGAGAAAGTTCAACACATACAAAGAGCAAATCCCTAGGGGTTTCTGAGGTTATAAACTCAGAGAGAAACCCTTGAGTGGGCAGGGCTGATTTTGGACACAATACCTGATAAGGAGCTTGGGGATTGTTCAGCCCCCACCCTGGCTCTCTTCCGGACGCACCCACATGTAGGAGAGATGAGGAAAGGCAGCTGTGGCCCCGTGCCCACTTTCCACTGCCCAGCCCTAGCCATCTTTGCTACTCGGGACCCTGTCCCTTAGCGGCTGCATCCTGATGAAGCCTTTCACTTTCTTTTCATTTTTCAAGGAAAATTCTGGCTCCTCTGTTGAGCCTTTAAAAAAGTCATTGTACCCCAGAGATGGGAACTGCTACACAGGGTGCTGGGAGGCCTTATAAGAGATGCTGGGCTGTCCTTTCACCAGGCCTTCTGCCTGCAATCAGGTAAAAGCCTGCATTCAGGGACTTTGCTGATGTGAGGACTTGGGTGACCAATCTTTCCTCCAGGGAGGAAGATGTCCAGAGTACCTAACCCACCTGATGGTGCCTGTTTCATTGCTTTGAGTATGCTACTGAGCAGAAAGGGAAACCAGGGCAGGCAGATAGCTGTAGGCTGCTAGGATTTCTGAATCAGCAGAGGCCTGGAACAGATTCCAGGTGTCTGCCTTCAAATGGGGGGAACATTCTACAGACACTTGCAGCCCACATTGGCTTGTTGGGAGGGCATATAATATAAAGGCATATAAGAATGTCTCAGACCAGCAGCTTGTTTTATGGACATGATGTCATCCGGTCCCTCCACGCCACCTCCGCCTGGCCGCCCCAATTGATAAGAATCTGGTGCTATTTCCTGTAGTCCAAGGGTCTCAGACAATGGTGTGAACGGCTGGCCCTACTGGAAAGGACATTGTTCAGGGAAGAAAAAACAACAAGCACAAAGCCAGTGCAGAACGTGTCTAAATGTAAGGGTCTGTTTACAAATCCATGATTTCCAACCTTAGAACACAATGGGGATTGTTTTGGTTAGGCTGGTGTCTCCTCCAGAAGGGTTCTGTCTGGCTTTGATGCCCAGACAGAGCTCAGATGCTCTGAGAAGGATGATCACACATTCTGCAGATGCCTTCCTGTTTATCAGGGATGCATTCAGGGCAGGGTCAAGAAGCAAGTTACACCAGAGACAAAGGGGATGGGCTCCTGGGCCTCAGGCTGTCTCCCTGCTGAGAGACCCAGGGGTTAGAGGGGACTTCGCAAGGGAGAGTAAAGGAAAAGATCTTTTTTGTGTGTGTGTGAAGGTGTGTGTGTGGCGGGGAGAGAAGCACCAACTCCAACTGCCATGCGCTTTTGGGAAAAAATGTACAAGGCTTGAGCCTTTTGCAAATAGTTGTATCCCTGTGGGATGGGACTCCCTCTTTCAGTCACCAGGGATACTTCTCACATCTGGGGATCCCCGTGATGCTGTTTCACCTCCACCCAGCTTGGGAGCCCACAGGGAGCTGACACTGTATACCTGGGGTCTTGGCCAATAGAGGTGCTACTTTTCATAGCAATCTCCCACCAGGAGCCTTGGTGTGTGGGGTAT